ATTCAGCAGCTTGATATGCCTCTTGTTGAGCAGGTCAGTGAGCCTACACCTATACCTCGTCAGCGGGCTCCACCACGCTGCAGTGGCTGTTGGACTATTGGACATACTAGAAGGAATTGTCCTAATAAATAGCTATATATTCAACTACTAGATAGTCAAGTCTAATGATGTTGGTGGTTGAAAAGCTTCAAAATAATATTAGAAGCGGCAAAAATTCGTCGCTCGGTGGTATTCGTCGCTCGGTGGTTGATTACGTTAGCATTAGATTTCATTACTCTAGATAAATCTAACCTCTAACCCCTAATATTATTATATTAGTATATATAAATATTATTAGATAGCCCCTATCTAGTAGTATAAAAGGCATATTAGATAGCTAATAGTTAGAAAGAATTAGACCTTCATTACTTTTTTACTTGTATATAAAATACTAGTGATTTCTGAACTTATGATAGTAAAGCAGTTTCTAACAATAAATAAGTTACAGTCGCAGGGACGGCCTGCTTGTGGTCAGTTGGCTGGGGCCATTGGTTTGAGGTATTTTTAAGGGGTCTGGGCTTTTTTCTTTTTTCCTTATCCGCTTCTTCGGCGTGTTTCAGAGGACTTGGATTGTGGCATCGTCAATTATCCTCAGAATAGCCAAGCAATAGGGGCTATCGACAATACATATCCAGCAAATTGATACGCCTCCTCTTGCGCAGTTTAGCAACTTTACAAACCTTGAACACATAGCCTTTGATCTCGCGTACTTACAAGGCATGCTAGGTTGATGTATGATTGATGATTAGCTATAAAATGATCTCATGTGAAGATGATCTTTCCCATTGGGAGCACCCATATGCAGAAGTATGTTTATGTCTGTGCTACGGAGTTCTTCTCATCAGCAAGAGATCATCCCATCTTTAGCCGCCAGCCTCACACTTCCTGCAGCTTAACTATCTTTGATATGTGAAGTGTTAGGGACATGGTGCATTGGCGTAATGGGTAATATTATTAAATACATCAGGGGCCCGTCCCCTATATGGGCACTGAGATGATGTCTACGTTCACAACCACAGCTTAAAAGACACGTTCAGTCCGGGAAAAAGCCCAGTTTCCCCGCCACACACGCTGCTTGAACTTGACAGCTTCTTCGAGCCATTGTTCCGCTTGTGACGACGTCAGACCGGGCTCGGCGACCACAACGAGAGTGGCTTGAACACGAACCGCTGCAAAATGCACCGACTGCTTCAGAAAATGATCCTATCTCGCGAGGTATCAGAGGATCTGGAAGCACAAGCCGACTCGATCATTTGGAAACTGACCTATAATAAGCGCTTGGAATTCATCTAATACCTGTTCGATGTCGAGTCCGAAGTCCTCGCAAATTTCCCTGGAATCGAATCATACTGCGACTACTTGGAGCATGACCCAGCTTTTGGCTCGATTTGGAGATTAATATCCTGTACGAATCACAAAGAGGTTACAGACTGTTGGGACTGGTGTCTCGCGGTGTTGCGGGTGACACAATCAGAACATCCTGAAATCAGCATACATGACATATTATGGCGCCTTAAAGAGCAGGGTGAGACGTCCAAGGAGAATCCAGGGCGAGAACAGGATAAAAGCTATCTCTATATTGTCATTTTCGGGGTCTTGTGCTGGTCAAGCCTGGTGGTACCAGCCAGGTGGATCTTCACAGATGAAGTATCACCAAATCTAACATGTCTCCTACCACATGGGCTCAAATCAATAAAAGGTTCCACAACCCACAGAATAAGCAACAGAAGTAGGCGACCAGTCCTGACCACTTTTCGGACGTTTAAGCAAGAGAACTGGGGTGACTAGTCACATGAGCGTACAGAGAGTGGATTGAGACCTCGGGAAACAGACAGCCTATATAAGAGTAGCCTCAACATCTACTCACTGCGCTACTTTGGGCACATCATAATTCAATGGGTTAATACCATCAGTGAGCATCTACAGTTCAATGCAGCTAATCGCCCGGCTGTCCCTGTTTCGCTTCCCCATATTCTGCGCCTTGCTCGCCACCTATGGAGATAATGTTTGCTCAGTAATTTGAAGGTATAATGTAAATCATGAGTGTTGCGTTAGTCTAGAGCAAGAGATTATCCTCTCCTACCGTCTTCTATTTGGATAAGATGATAAGTCCAGAAAGGTTACGTGTGAAGAAATCTGCAGGTTGAAGAACTCATGCGCGAAACAAAATGTCAACGACATGCTCTCTGATCTCTGCGAACAGAAGTACAAGTACAGCAGCTTGTGGTGGAAGACTTACGACAAAGCCTTGCTGAGCTATCCCTCTGAGATATGGCCAATTACCTATCAGACCATGGAATGGCATCTCCAGCAAAGCGACGTGTACAGCGCTCGAGATGACTTCCCAAGACCCGGACTACGGTTGATCAGGCTCCAGCAGTTCAATTCACGCCAGAGACCCAGTAAGTTGACTGATCTGTGGCGCGATAGGCGGAATCCTTTACAATGGTACACATTCTGGACTGTGCTGCTGGTTGGGGGAGTGGCGAACATCCTGGCTGCACTTCAGCTTCTGGTCGCTATTTTTGCATTGAAGTTCTAAAAAGCTGTCTACCCCAAAGGCCATCATATGCGCGTACTAGGTGAGGATCACCTAGATACTCTCCAGTCTATTCGGGGTCTCGAGCTTCAAGTCCTCGAGCGCTTAATTTCGGACTGTGCCCAATTGGATGAGAAAGCGAGGAAAATGACCGAGGAGACACGACTTGGCGGAGAATTGCTCTAGTCGTGGAATTGCAAGACTATGAGTTATCAACAGTAGCCCGATTGCCAGCGCAGTGATCTTGGAGGGACATTCTGTAATTCCAGATACGAGGCGCGACCGAGCCAGCATCGTCACCACCGTTGCTCCATGTTTTTAAAAAGAATTAACAGCATTATAAGTATCGTTCGCAGCCTGCGCTGTCGCTAAAGGGAGATTCCTCGTAGTCTGGCAATGCCCATTTTTCCATCCACTCGCATTTTAGAATGTCCTGTACAGTCAACCGCTTCTTCGGCTCAAAAGACAGCATTGACCGCAACATATTCATAACGGCAGCTTTCTCCTCTGCATCAAACCCCGGGACTCCAGCCTTCTGTCGTGGGAGTTGAATGTGCTTTTCAAAGCGGTCATCCCAAGACCTCACTTGTCGGCCTTGATTTGGTTTCCCACTTTCATCGAAATACTCGTGTCTTGCCTCCCATTTCTTCCACCACCGTCGAGGTAATTCCCCCAGAGTATCAACCTGCTCCGCTGTGATGTCGTCCGGCGTGGCAAGTATGTCCTCGAACAAGGGGCGCTGACCGAGCATTATCCACATGGAACATGCGAGAGTCTAGATGTCAGCTGGGAAGGAAAGGCCCAGTTCTGGCTCAAATCGGGCTTCAGGCGGCACAAAGGAAAGGGGGGCGTGCGAGCTACACCGATGATCTGTTGAGGGTCTGTATGCCTCCCCGAAATCACTGAGTAAGACTTTAGATTCTGACGGGGTGAATTCCTCCGAGGCTTTTCCAAGCCAGATCGGAGGGACGACGCTAGATGGAATGCTAGACTGAAGGGGTTGACCGTCAAGACGAATAACTGGCTCAGACGCGGGCGGACCGTATTTTTCGTATAGCTGCTCAATTGACAGTTGATCAAAATCGGCCGGGAGACGCAGAAGGACATTGCCGATGTGAAGATCTGATGTAGATACTGTGTTAACGTCTGGATGTGAAAATTGTAAAGTATGAAGGACTAACCTCCATGAACGACTCCTTTACTGTGAATGTAATCGACAGCCAGTACAAGTTGCACAATAAGAGAGCGAGCTGTCCTGGCCTGAAATATGCGTCGATACGATCCGTCCTTCGCACCGGAGACACTACACCTTGCTAGGGCTGTCACACAGCAAGGGTGGTTGCCATTCGGGCCGTGGAGGACGAATCTGTCTTGAATGGAGGGTATCATTGCCCTGCCTGGGTGGTCAAGTGGGGAAGAGTGGTGGAGATAATCGAGGACATCAACCTCTCGAGCGTTTGACTCTGCAGTTCCAACCTTGACTGCCACATATTTATTAGACTGGTAGTCTCGGCAGAGCCAGGTGGTTGAATAGGTTCCATAGCCTAGCTTGTGGGCTACCCGGTATCGGGATTGAAGGACATCGCCTATCATTATAGGGTGATATCCACCAGGCTGGTACTTTTCAAGTCTCTCGACTTCTTCGACAGGTACATATTCGAAGCGGAGTGGAGCAGAGTCAGCGCTAGATGAGACATTCTTGAAAGCCATGGTCGACCCGACTGCACGTCCACCAACAGAAGGTCTCCAAAAGCAAGGATAGCAGAGTGATGAGGACCGTGTCTGATAGACCTGATGTGTGAAGCTTCGTCGATGAGCCCAGAGAGAAGTTTGTGACCTGATCATGGAGGCCATTACCGGAAGATGTGAGTTCAATGAATGATTAAGCAGTGAGAGGTCCCATTTAATCCACCCACCACAAGGTCATCACTGGGAAAGGGCAGGTTTTCCTGTAGCCAGCTTGTTGCAAGTCTTTGACGTTTCAGGTGGGTGCTTGGTTTCCGATGACCTGTCGTTTTGTCTCTCACTTGGCATGTGACCTGTGTTGTGCTCCTTTTAACTGCCGCAATAACCGTGCAGGGAAGGTCACGGTTTTCCCTCACAATGCCACACAGAATCATGGTCTTTTCGCCGTCACCCCAAGTTACACCATATTATTCCATGATAACTCCTGTTTCGTGTGGGAAGCGATTCCTGGGGGTGATACTATGACTTTCAACAAAAGATAATGCATGAAAAAGTGACCAACAGTCATAGCATTTGTGAGCTGCCAATATTCAACCGAACCCCCGCAGCTGAAGATGTCCCATTCCTCAGTAGTCAGTGATAGAACTCCAGTGACTCCATGTTCAGTCGATGTTGGACGAAACAAGGGCTGCTTTTGCCAAGTCACGGTGCTTATGTCTGGCGAAGCGGACTTGGTAAGGTAGTAATGGTGCTCTAACTCATGTGCCGTGTGGACAGTCAAGCATAGATCATCCTTGGGTGACATCGCATGTCGTTCTTTACCTACACTACTGGCGTGGGGGGGAGTATGAGGTTGCAAATTGCAGATCCGGGGTAAGATGCGTCGTTGATTCGTTGTATAGATGAGATCTCGTATCCGACTGTAATCACTCCTCTAGATGAATGTTACTTGACAAATAAACGGGGGGGTCATTCTCCAACGTGCTCCGGCATATACCAACTCCCTTGACTGTCACCCAACAACCGGGCGAGAAGTGCAATAGCCAAGAGAACCCATCACAAAAACCAGCGAAATTCCCTGGCCTTCGGCCCATCCCTCAACCTCTCCGTCGGCACCTCCTGCGCCCGCAAGCGCACCCCATCCCTCCGATCCCTCCTCTTATTATCGACCCACATATAACACCCCAGCAACGCCGCCAGACACGCTCCCGTCGCTCCAAACGCCGCAACCGTGATCAGCGCCGGCATGTACTTGGGCTTATCCCGCGCCCGGAACACATTGCTGCTCACCAGCCCCATGAGATTCGCCAACGGCACACCAATACTCGTCAGCAGCACGCGGCGGCCCTCGTCCGCGACGTTGTTGTTGTACCATGTGCTCAGCAGGACGGACGGCGCGGACGTGCCCCAGGTCATCATAAAGGTGGCGAAATAGGCGACGCGGATCTGCGCCTGAACGTCGTCGATGGAGGCGTAGATGATGAAGCCCGTGAACGTGAGCAGGAACCCGAGGACGATGAACGGGCAGCGGAGCCGTGCGGCGTCGGAGCAGAAGGCCAGGAGGAGGAGCATGACTGCGCCGGTGACGTTGGGGGCGACGGTGTACAGGTTCGTTTTGACGGTCGAGTAGCCCAGGCGCTGGACGATTTGCGGGAGGAAGAGCGCGACGCCCTGGATGGGGACGCCGAGGCAGATCTCGATGCAGAGGAAGGCGTAGGTGGTGGGATGCTTGAAGATGGCGAGGGCTTCGCGGAGGCGGAACTTGTCGTTGACGACGGCGCTGGAGTCCACCTGGATGCGGTGGAAGGCGAGGGCTTTTTCGTCTTCGGAGAGGAATCTGGCTTCGGCCACGCTGCGGGGGAGGTACCAGAAGGCGAAGATGGAGAAGAGCACGGTGGCGCCGCCTTCGATGATGAAGAGGTATCGCCAGTTGGGGATGGAGGAGCCCTCGATCTGGAAGACGCCGAAGGCGATCAGGCCCGAGAAGGCGTTGGCGATATTGGATGCGGCGTAGAAGATGGCCAGCCGGCGGGCGAGCTCGCCGCGTCGGTAGAATGTGGTCAGATAGTAGATGACCAGTGGGAAGAAGGGGGCTTCGCACATGCCTAGGAACCAGCGAAGAGCAAAAATGCCGCCAAAGTTCTTGGTTGATGCCGAGAGCAGGGTGAAGGAGCCAAAGCAGAACATGAGGATGGGCAGCACGCGGGCTGGACTGTAGCGTTTCCCGAGCATCGCACCGGGAGGTGCGAAAATCACATACGGGATGAAGAAGATGGACAGCAACAGGTTGTATTCATTGGATTTGAAGTTGAGATCTACAGCCATTAGTTTGATCTCTGATGGGAGACGTGGACTTACCCTTGCTCATTCCATCTGTCTCGGCGTTTCCCAGGTTTCCCTTGTCCAGCGCGTTGAAGAGATCTTGATCATCAATATCACGATTTTGCCTTGAAACGGGCGTAGAACTCACACATCACGGCGAGAACAGGAAGTAATCGCAGGTCAAGCCGGCGACAGAGAGCCCGTTCGGCCTTGTGATCGACTACTCGCACAACATCCTCCACCACGCCGGGCGCAGAGCCATAATTCTTCAGGTTGTCGCCGCTCTCGTGGATAGACTCATTTCCGGTGGAATTTTTTGTGTCGTCTCGAGTTGTGTCGGACACTATATTCGACGCCATGATCCTGTTGATGGTGACGAAGTTCAAGACGGATGCTGGAAGATATACACCACTCGACGCAAGGGATACACTAACTCTTTCGGATGGTTGTCGATCAAGGAAATTCCCATGCAAGGGCAGTCAGACATATATCAAGCACGATTGAACCATCTCCTTATCATCGTGCTTGGCCAAAGGCAGAGTATCATCAGCACGGCGATGTTGAGATAAGCAGGTAGCATGGTGACACGGATTCTTGAAAGTGTAACCCCCACGCTATCTTCTCCGCATTATTCTCTTGAGAAGTGATCATCATTCGTTGAATAGCACACGGAAGAGGGGAAGATGGATGGTTGGACGAAAGCGGCGATCCTTGATAGATGAGGTTGCATCCGTGAGGAGAAGTAGACACTAGATACCCAGCACGCGGTAGCAGTGGCTTTGTCTTATCTATAATATCTATCAGTGCGTCCTATCTTAGCAGGTAGATATACGTTTACTATGAGTTGAATCCAATTATGTGCTGTGTATAGTCCTGCGCTGCACGGACAACTCTTCTCGGTGGAAATAAGATAAACCAGTAATCAAGTCCACATATCGGTAATTGTTAACCATAGACCAGGGCAGAAATACTCGGACTGTGTCTGCACAAATATTGGTCTAGTCAAGCAGCATGGTTGCCTCTTTAATAACTGCCACCAAGATTCTCTGACTAAACTCTCAAATAACAGCGAGCGATATATGCTATCACGCCTCTCTCCTCCTCTTGGCCTCACTCTGAATCCACTCCTCGGCTCTGCCCTTCCACTTATCCTCCCATCGCGACAACGCAGGCCGATCCTCAACCACATCGTCACTCCCCCACTGCATCCTCGCCTGATCCAGAGCCCTATCCGTCTCATTGTCCGGGCAGACTATGTAGAACGACCCCTTCTCCATTCCTTTGACCAGCTCCTCCGCTACCTGACTGGGAAACCACGCCCCTTCCATCTTCTTGACGTTAGCCTCGTCCGTAGGCCCAACATTCCCCATGAGACCAGTCCATGTCCACCCGGGAATCAGCAAGTGCACCGAGATATGAGCAGTAGCTGGATCCGACCGCAGATCATGCGCCAGATGCTCAGACAGATTCTTGATGGCCGCCTTGGAGGCGTTGTAGGCGGGGTTGGCTGCTCCCGGGGGGTTAGTGATGCCTTGCTTGGAGCCGGTGATGACGATAGATTTGGGAGTCGACGATGAGGTAGTCAGCAGGGGAAGCAGACTTTCGAGTCCGTTCAGAGGCCCAAAGACGTTTGTGTCGAATGTCTATTTGACTATCAGCTACAGCATCATTGGAGATGGGATGGAGCCAACCTTCTTCCAGTATTCGGCGTCAGCCCATGGTTTCAGCCGTCCTTCCAGCTCACTCTGCGCTTTGTATGATTTGCCTGCATTGAGAACGACAAGATCGAGTTCGTTGAATGTCGAGCGGATCTGCTCTGTGACGTCCTTCCAGGAGTCCCGGTTCCCAACATCAATGGTGTAGACCTCTGTTTTCACAGAGGAGTCGAGCGCAGACAACTCGTTCTTGGCTTTTTCCAGATTGGCCGTGTCGATATCGAGGAGCGCCAGGTGCATTCCTTTGGTGCGGCATAGTCTGGCGATGGCGAAGCCGACGCCGGATGCTGCGCCGGTGATAAGGGCAGATTTCTGCGGTTGGAATATGGTAGCCATTGTGTTGCTGTTGATGGGATTTTGAGAAAAATCAGGGAGGGCAAAAGATGGCTGATATTTGATTCATCTTGGACCCCGCATCGTCAGCAGCGGAAATAGCGGAGTTAGCCCTTGTACCCGTGGAAAGACGATCATCTGTGAGGACCTATGAGTGTATAATGAATCCGTTTGAGGGACACGCTCAACGAGTCAAGACCCAAAGATGAGCCTAACTTGACACCAATCTCCCCAGCAATGAGCTTCAATGATTCAGTTAGTACGGAGTATATTACCCCGGGATCAACGGCTGAATTGAATTGCAAATGCGGGGAATAGATACATAGCGAGGCATCTTCTCATCGATCCTTCAGGTAGATTGCTCAAAGCCAGCCCTCTGCAGATCGACGCCATTTACCCGTTTAGCCTGTAGAAAAATCCGGGGAAATGGAGTATTCCTTGAGCATGAGTCTATTTAACATGCGATCTCCTCGATACGAGCCTATCCTTGTCGTACGCGAGAGCTAGGTTGAAGTTGGCCAGAATCCGAAGCTCAACATGGCCACATTTCTTTCTCGTGTAGTTCCCGCTCTTCTTCTGCTTCTCCAACTCGACAATGTCTGGTCGCTTCCTCTAGACTCATCGCTTACTCACAGAGACGCGGCTTCAAGCCGTGGATCTCACTGGGTGGATATCTGGACAACCATGCCCCAACTGGTCGAGCCCTACAATCTGCCTCCCCCTCCATACGTAAGTCTCTCTCAGCATGCAAGACCTCATCTCATGAAGATAGAACTCTTCAACCTCCGTCTTCAACAATTCCACCATCCGCCAGACGATCCATGTCACGCTTGATGCAGACAGCATCCGTCTGCGGCTCTCAAATGCCTTTGGGGTGAACGATCTGGCAATCAGCAGCGTCGCCATTGGCCTTCCAGTCGACCAAAAGACGGGAACGAGTGCCCTGCAACCGAGATCAAGCAGGAAAGTCCTCTTCAGCGGGAACGAAGATATCACCATTCCGAACGGAGCGCTGGCTGTGTCAGATCCAATCTATTTCCCTGTCAAGGCGCAGTCGACTCTCCTGATTGATATCTACCTCGCTCATGGGCAGCAGGGCAATGCCATCACCGGACATCCGGGAAGCAGAACGACATCCTGGCTGTCCTTTGGGAACTGGGTTGGGGCGAAAAACCTGACCGATCCGTCGGTGATGAGCGTGGATCACTGGTAGGCTCACTTGCAGATACTACGAGACCCAAACTAACGCAGTGGCAGGTACTTCCTCAGCGCCGTCGAAGCGTCCCTGCCGTCCTCCGCGCGCAGCTTCGCCATCATCGGCGACAGCATCACCGACGGCAGGGGCAGCGACACCAACGGCAACAATCGGTACGGTCCCTGCACCATACCCCGTAATACACTAGCTAATGATCCGCCAGATGGCCCGATCTCCTCCTCGCCCGAATGCAAAACCACAAGGCCACCTCCTCCATCGCCCTCCTCAACCAAGCCGCCGGCGGCAACCGCATCCTCGCCGACGGGCTGGGCCCCAACGTGCTCAGCCGCCTCGACCGCGACGTGCTTGCGCACTCGGGCGTGCGCTACGCCATGATCTTCGAGGGCGTCAATGACATCGGCGTGGCGGGCACGGATCCCGCCGAGCAGAGGCTCGTCGGGGATAGACTGCTCGTTGCGTTTGCGCAGATCGCGGCGCGGGTCCATGCGGCCGGCATCCCGGTCTTCGGGGCGACGATTACGCCGTTCGGGACGCCGGCGACGTCGAACTACACGCAGCCGTACTCGAGTGGCGAGCGCGAGAGGACGAGGCAGAGGGTGAATGAGTTTATTCGGACGAGTGGGGTTTTCGATGCGGTGCTGGATTTCGATGCGGTGCTGAGGGATCCGAAGGCGCAGGGGCAGTTGGCGGAGGAGTATGATTCGGGGGACCACTTGCATCCGAATGTGAAGGGGTATCAGGCTCTGGCGGATCGTTTTCCGTTGGAGGTTTTTGATAGGTTTAGGGGTTATTGATAGTGTGCTTGGTTGATTGACAGATTATTGGGAAATAGATATGTATGTAGGCATCTTGGAATCGTGATACTCTAAGGTACAAAGACAGATCCTTTGCAGTGGCTATCCCATCCCTGAGGGGAAGTAAATACTGGAGCGACGCTGTTATTCAGTGCCAGGTTGATCAGGGTATTGGCTGAATATGCCGTTAGATCCGTGCATTGTCCATCGTGGCATCGACTCACCATGAGGATCATATTCAGGCCATCCATACTTCCGCAATCCATTGTGAGGATCCTTGGCAAAGGCAACCCATGCATCTAGCAGATGTTAGTCTCAGAGCCCGAATCTGGCATCCCCTACCTTGAATATATTTGCTGGCTTCCACCTCCTGGGGAGTAGAAGGAATACTCAGCGGGGACATGTTATAGGTCCCAAACACGATAGGTACTTCGCCTAGCCTTTGTCAGATATGACGCTTACTTTGGGGAGATACCCACTTGAATGGTATGCCCCAAGCCACGACACCGGACTCAGATTGCTCCAATTGCCGTGGTATAGATACCTCCATGTCGGAATCCCTTGGGCAACTTTGAGTCTGCGGTCATTAGCTCAACCCGAAAAAGTTCGGGAGACGTACAAAGCAGAGTGATGAACAGGACAGTTAAACGTCGTCTGTGTTGAGGCCAGCATCGCCGTCTCATTGATCGACGCCGAGCTAAGCTGGAAGAACGCCGCGCCCTCGCGCGCATTGTCGCCGATGAGAGCAGGCTGAAACATGTCAGGCAATTCCGAAAGAGAGATCGAGGAACATACCACCCGCGCGCATTTGCCCTGTTTAGCCCGCGCTGGGTAATCCGCGAAAACGGTGACGTTGTCCTGCACCGGGGCGAAGTTGTACGAGCCCGAGGATACCTCATCGAGGATACGCCGGAATGGAATCCCCTGCATGCAGCGCAGCGTTCCCCTGCCAGATCCGCAGCCCAGGGCGGTTGATAGCTTATCCCAGTTCTGGTGGGTGTAGTCGGCGCTGGTGATGATGTCTGCCGCGCCGGATTCGATGGCGACAGCGTGGACGAGTGGATTGTCTGGATGCTACCCTGCGGATTAGATCTGCAGCCAGAAGTGTTGAGAAGACTCACCGCGTATGTATACATGTCCACCGAAGCCGCACCGGCCGACTGGCCGAACAGCATGATTCGAGAGGGATCGCCACCGAATTTTTCGATGTTCTCGTGGACCCATTGAACTGCCAGTCTCTGTTCTTGTCAGCTGTGCTCGGAAGAAACGAATAAAGGAGCAAACCTGATCCAGAAGGCCGACATTCTGCTGACTCCAGGGCAGATCGGGAGAGTTGGGATACCCGAATACCGTCACGCGGTAGCTATACCAATGAGTCCGCTGCAACTTGGTTAGGATACAGGCATAACCTACTTGAACGTCACAACAATGATATCCTCATTATCCTGAACCAGATTGTTCCCATCGTAGAACGTAAGCGCCGTACCCCCCTGCACAAAACCCCCTCCGTAGATATACATCATCACCGCCTTCTTACCCTTGGCTTTCTTGTGCTTGGCCGCAGGCGCCCAAACATTGATGGACAGGCAGTCCTCGGACATGTCTGCCGTGTTCCATGGGTTGTACGGCAGCACGGTCCAGATCGACTCATTCGAGAATGAAAACTGCCCGGGACACGGTGGGCCAAACGACGATGCGTCAAACGCACCACGCATCCTGGTCTTGCGCACGGCGGGTGCGAATCGGCGCTCGCCAACTGGTGGTTCGGCATAGGGGATACCCAGGAAGGTCCGCACTGTCTCGGCGGAGTTGTTGTAGAAGCCGTGGACGATACCGCTGGTTGTTTCTACTTGGAGCTCCAAAATTGAGGCCGCAGCCAACGCGGCAGATCCTAGGAGGCAGAAGGCAAGTATTTTGAGCTTCATCGCGAGTTTGCAGGTATTGGTTACAGAAGCTTGCGGTAGAGTGAGAAGGAAGAGACTATCGTCATCGTCGGTTATATTACTTTCAATTCCTGCCTCTGCGGGGAATATTGTGGAGAAATGAATACCCCACATTCTCAGGAAGGAATCGAGGATACATTAGTCTATCTTATTGATGGAGTATTGCGGGTGCTGAATGGAAGTGAAGCATCTCACTCCGTTCCCGAAGAGGAAATAATCAGCAGCCGGAGAGGTTCCAGCTCAACGACTTTAGGCTGATATCAATTGGCGGGGTTCCTTGATGGATATAGTTGGAAGCTGGACTCATCAGAATAACAGTAGGTTCGCAAAAGACCTATTCAAAAGGAAGGCCAATTATTCCCCTAAACCTGTCAAAATCAGCATGCTTCCTCTCGTATCTGTACCAGAACTTGGAAAGACTACACCGTGGGATTGAGAGACAATGATATGTAAAAGGAAAGGTACAGAGGCATTTGCATTGTATGCGGATTGATATACAGCTACCATACAAGCTGCTGGGTAAGAAGGGATTGCCAAACCAGCCCTTTATTTACATCTGGCATGCCACTAGCGAAGGTCTAGCTAACCAAAATACATCAGCTATTGTACAAGACAGCCTCACTACAGCCGTCTCCCTCGCTTAGCAATCCCCCTCTTCTTCATCGCATTTCCCTCTTGCAATGCCATCGTCCTCCCAGGCCCAAAATCCGCCTTCCCGCCCAACGTCCCAAACTCATCGCCGATATAGTTGCTGGGCTTGACACCAGCCGCAAATGTCTTGTTCCAGCCGTCCAGAATGCCCTCGACAACCTTAATTCCGGCATTGTAGATATTCTGCACCGCGGGCTCAAACGCGCCCTGGTCCGCATACAGCAGATTCTCGATCGCCGACTCACCGGGATGCGGCCTGTCAAAGTCGGACGCCGTCCGCATGACGATAATCCGGGAGAAATCCGTGCGGTTGTGCGACGCAGCGCGCAGTAGCGCCTCGAGCGTCGCGTTGTCCTCCTGCGCGGTGGTGCAGTATACGCCCGTCCCATTCGTGAGAACCTCAATGGTATTGTCGAAGACGTCGTCGAGGATCGTCCCGCTGAAGTAGACGTCGCTCGTGGAGACATCGCACTCCACGATCGAGGGGCCCTGGGTGCCGGCTGTGTAGATACCATTTTCCGTCGCGTACTTGGCGCGGTAGGTCTTTGCCGTCTCGGAGTCGGCCAGCTGCGCCGTGCGGGCGAAGGAGGCGGCCAGCGAGCGCAGCTCGGCGTTGACTTCGAAGACTTCGGTGCCGTAGATGCTGCCCGGATACTGGCCGGGTGCGTAGGCGCCCTGGGGGATGTAGGGGGAGGTATAGTTCGGTCCGAGGTCGCGGATATCGATCTCGTACTGCAGGGCGACCTGCACGGCGTACCGGGCGAAGGTGACGCCGCCAATGGTGGCGATCTTGGGGTTAACGCCGGCGATGCCTGCGATCAGGAAGTAGGTGTGTGTGAGGTCGAAGAGCGGGGAGAAGGCGACAGCGGAGACGGTGACGGCTGCGTTGATCTCGCCTTCGCCGGTGATGAGCTGGCAGATGCTGTAGTCGGCGGTGCAGTAGACGTCGGGATAGATGGGCGAGGCACCAGGCACCGTGATGTTGTGCGCGAAGAGATCAAACTCGGGGATGTTCCACCAGACGGCGGCTTCGGGTTTGAACTGTGGCATGTGAGTGGCCATCGTCCGCACAACTCGGATAGACATACCATGGAGACGATGAAGACCTTGGGCGCAATCTTGTGAGCAGAATGCCGGTGCTCCTTTGCAGCCTGGGCTACTGGCGCTGGTTTAGGGACTGCCGAGGCCAGCACGCTGCCAGTGAGCAGCAGTCCCGTTGCAATTGACTTGACCAGATGCATTTTGAAGCCGTCTACCGTGGATCCTCGTCTTCACTCTTCGTACTGCACTGAGGAACCAACCGGTCACGGCATTCAGCGCAGTTATATAGCTGCAAATTCTGCAGTGGAAATTGCGCGATATGGGGCTTGCCGGAGTATGGCCTACGGGCTATCATTCTTGGACCAGCACAGTGGATCCGATTCCACTATCGCGACTTTCTAGGAGATCGGCAGTGATAACGGATTCCATTTGTCAACAAGTCAATTAGTGCCTTTCCTCTCGTTCTTTTGGTCGGATCGTCGGCGATATCACCCTCTAGATACAGCCCTTATCAAGGTATCAGTCCAGTTCTCGATTGGCTTTTGCGAAGAGTGGAGAATACACGGCACTCGCCGGTATGCGTCATGATTGAAGAGGGAAGAAGCAAAGATAACTAGATAGGAGATTAAATATAGTGTGGATCAACCCATATCTAATCCACAACCAGTCTAGTCTCAACGCCTTCCTTGAGTGTCTGGAGCTCCTGAAGGGCCTGAGATGGGCGCGGGAATCTCCTCACGACGGTGCCAGAAGTAAGGTGCATACCACTTCCCAGTCCTCTGCCTAGCTATCGCCAGGGGACTGTTAATAGCTTGACTTGGGCTATCTACTCTCATTGGGTGTTTAAATGCTGTCTTTCTTTCCCCCACTGCTTCTTTAGGTATAATTGTTCTGTGTTACGTCTATACAACAACCGCTAGCCAGTCAACCCGCTCCATATGTCTCAACCTAGCTCTGGAAGATATCCTCCTGACCACACTACTTTGAGCCGGTATGAACTGAAAATCTTGTCCTTTTTTGGTGCCTCGCCCGGAGCTGGTAGATGGTTCCGCTATATTTCTTAGCCCTTGTGGTTCAGGATCCTCTAAGGATTTGTGGCGGTGGGAGCCCTGTGTCTTGCGGCAGTAGCACGCCCGCTCTAAATGCCGCTTCAATGTGTGATGATAGTATTCATTTGGGAAACATGCTGAGCGAACTGTGGACATTGCGCCATAACAGTGGAGTTCTGGACGCGCCGAAGGACATGCAGCCTTGCCTCTAACTGGACTAAAGTGGCTGCATTATCCTGTATTTGATTTCTAACACACAATCCAGGATCAGCAGCCTGTCTCTCGACTCTTGAGTGTTTGAGCCTCGAAAGGCGCGTGAATTCCATTGGTAATGGTGGCTTCAAAGTTCGCTTCTGGGCCCTTCTGCAATTTCCGTCGGTCCTTTCAGCCTTGAGGCGCCAAAAACCCCGGGTGTAGCGTATGCAAAGACGCGCTAGTACATTCTGATCGATAACGTAGACCGCGTAGGGCTAGCCTGAGACTTGCGTACTCCGTAGGGTGTGTTTCATTTCTCAAAGAGAACTGGGCAGTTGATCAACCCCCAAGTTTGAGAAACGGATGATCCATCAGTTCGCGAGCTGTTTTCCTCTTCTCCGGGAGCCAGTTGAGCATTTGTCGAACAAAAGATAAGAATGCCTCTCGATCCTCCTCTTCGAGGAATGGGGTCGTGTCCTCTAAGCCTCGGGACGGGATCAATTCATTATGGCGGAATTCATCTACAACAGTCGGTATGTCAGGTATTGACGTATGAAATAATTGGTCAACCCACCTTCCGCGTTAAAAAAAGGGCCATCGAAGAATTCTTGAGCATTATTGCAGAGTTTGCCAGTGTCGTTTGTGACCGGCTGAGGCCAGTTGTGCTCTGACATGGTCTTTGATTTCGCGAGCAATACCCTGGGAGGCGGGCCGAGTAGGGCAATCATTTCCGCGAGGTGCGACTTTGCATCGTATTGGCCGTTTGCATCATGTACCTGCTGGAACAACTCCTTGCTCCCAAGGATATTCCACAACTTGCCGAACAGGATTGTTAGCATTTAGCCCAAGCCAGCGATTGTAACCACATTGACCTTAACAAAACAGTCGCAGGGGTCTTACCAACACACCAAAATTCCAAATATCTGCCTTAAAATCCCAACCGCAGCCAAGGATTACCTCTGGAGCACGGTAAAAGTCTGGTTGGATAGGATAGATGCCAAGTTGCTCTCCTACCATTCCGCCTCGAGTAGACGGCTTGTCGAGTCTTGCTGCGAGCCCGAAATCGGCTATTTTGGGAACCATATTCTTGATTTCTCTCCCGTCAAGAGCGCCGAAATCATTATGGCAGCGGTAGATAGTCCGACCACTCTCGCCATCAACCTTGTATTGCATTTGTTGTTGTCGTTTTATGAAGTTGGTAAGAATGTTTTCGTTTTCAAAGCTCATGAGGATGTTCCCTAGCTTTAGATCTGAAAGGTAGGTTAGGTATTTATATTTCAGGCACAGGAGTATTGCGAAAAGCACTCACCGCTGTGAACAACTTTGCATTCTGAGTGAAGATAATCAAGACCAGCAAGGAGGAAGTAGATATAGGCCTTCGCAATGGGCAAGGGAATTTCGCGATCAACAAAACGCCTCTGTAAAATCCAGAGAGGCTCTCTCACCGGTTCATACACGAGGCACACGTGCTTCCTTTCCGGACTAGTTACTTCGAAGTCATCGAGGCACGTCCGTAGAATCACGCGGCCACGGTGCTCTGGATTTTGCTGTGTGATATGGCTTTCAATCTCCTTCTCGTGCCGAGCATCATCGGCATTGTTACTGTTGATTATTTTGAGGACCACTGTCCGTTCAGATTGCCATTTGAGTCTTAATTGGAGGGCCAGGGTTAGTTTCTCTGTAGTTAACATGAAGCGGACGTGGGTAGGCACCTTGAAATGTCTCGGGCGAGCCATACGGTAGATTGTGATCCCCAGCCGATTTTGACAAGTAGTTGAAATTTCTTGGCCAGTACTTCCCCAGGCTTTGCTGGGTAGAAAGTCGCCGAATTTTAGCCTGGACAAAGCTCCTCGTCGACAAGTTCCTGTTGAGGAATTGGAGGCTCCGAGTTGGGCGGTAACTGCCAGAGCGACTTCTTGGCAAAGGAGAACACAGTACGTCGCGATGTCAAGGTCAACCACCGAAGAGGTGACATTAGGCCATCAATCTAGAGATGATCAAGTGCCAGGGTTGCAGGAAAGCTACAGGAAAGCTGAGCTTGAAGTTCCCTAAACAGCCCGAGAGGCTTGGTGATCTATGACTAAGCACAACTAGCGTGCTCCACTGCGGAATGAATGCTGCTCCTATCCATCTATCACTAATTACTAGGTGGGTTACAACATCTAACTCTAGTTGCAATTAGAACAGTGTAATGGCGCCAGTACATGTGGTCCAACTGTAGAAAGCTCTGGATCTATGGGTGTAGATTCTTGAGGTTCATAGACCTTAAGTATATATATTAAAATACAGCAGATAAATTTACAAGTTAAATTATCTAATATTCCTAGTCTAAGTATTTCTTACTAATAAGGCTCACCTACTATAACAAGAATGGCAATGGCCTTAGTGGCTGTAGTTTTTTGCTCAGTAGGCTAGTCAACAAGATATCCAGATAGGAACTTATCTCAAAGCTCTTCTTGTGTTCTGGAAAAATGCTTAACCTATCTTAGCTCCCAGACTGAGGTATCCCAATTCCTGTGAGAGAACGACTTATTTTCGTCATCTTGCATTCTTCCTTGGCTTGGGGTCCACTGTCTGAAAGTTCAATGAGAAGGAGTAGATGGGCAGGTTTTCCTTTCTTTCACGATTGATAGCTGTCAATAGTGACTTCTGACTTCTCCGGCCATGAATATCCAGGATATTCTCCTGTTGCAACCATACTCACAGCACTACCTCTCTCTGTCTCTCTTCCTCATAGAACGAATAATTCATGGCTCAAAGCATCGCTGGACGACTTTATTTAGGAGCTGGGCATGAGAAATCAAAGGCAGAATATCTCCTACTCTTAGCTCTCCTTCATTTCATACGGCTGTAGTTATAATATGGCCATGACTAGACTTTGCAGTGTTTTACAAGTATTGAGCTACTATAGGTACGGGATTGTTCAACTATTATACCACTCACCACTATGACTATGGATATGAAACACTAGACTAAGGAGTACATGGTCCGGACCCCTTTTAGTCTAGCGGTATGGATTTAAATAGGAGCAAAATCCCATGTGGATGCCTCTTTAAGTCCCTTGTGATTTCTCAAATACACAAGCCTTGGATCTTGATAATTCATTGATATCATATCTTCAATTGATGTGAAGAATATTCAGAACAGGATCTGGCCTACTTAAGATGCTATCTCACATGATCCAATGCACTAAGAGATCTCTTCAACTTCCTCAGAGACACCTCTACCTCCACCTCACTTCTTCATCACGATCGCTAGTACCTCGACCGATTCAAGCATTATGCTATAATCTTCCATCGCAAGCAAGGGCCCACTGCATCTACGGAGAGAGGAGGGTAGCTATTGCCCCCGGACAAATATCACCATTCCCCAGACCAAGAGATACAGCTGGGATGATTCGGCATGCACTTCAGGAAGACGGCCATCGCATCTGGGGGCTTGTCATCTACCGCTGCACCTATAAAAGCGATGCCGACTGGGATGAATTCATGAGACGTTTACACTGGCGCATCCGCGATGTGCTAGAGTTTTACCAGGGGCTTGATTTGATGGACAGTCTTGGCCTCACTGTCTTGGAGGACCGGTCTCTTTTCGACGGTGCGACCACCTCCACCGTCCGCAACCACTTTAGACAATGGGCTGAAACTGCTGTTGAGGCAGAGCAAGGTGTGGGCGCCTGCCAACGCAGATCCCAGCGATATCGATACTGCATTCAGGTGGATGAGGAGGCATTAGATTCGGTTGTCCACAAGGTCCCAGCACCTTGGGAGGAGATATGCTGTAACAATGTGGGCTATGTCAATTTCATTGACAAGGAGTGGGAGCCGTATGGCCCGGTTTATTATGAAGATGAGTATGACAGACTTGTAGAGGACCCTGAGGAGCCGATCGAGGGCTGTACGCTTCACAATGTGGGTTGGATGAAAGTGCATTATGACACGGTCATGGTGTGCAAGTACAATTACATGCGCGATGAGTTGGCGTGGGATTGGGAGTATCGTCGTCCTCCTAATTTCGGACTCCGTTAAGCGCGGAGCATATTTGTACCAAGCTTAACTCTGTACTTTTCGATCGAAGCCTGGTCCTAACCCTGTATCTGATTGATTCGTGCTTAAAGCCCTTGTCCACAAGTTGGACAATGACAATCAAGCGCAAAATACCTCCAGCCTTGAACTCTCCTTATTGCAAACAAACAGTCTATCTGTCTATTGCTATCTGATGGAGCTCGGCTTCAATCCGACGTTGCCGTTAGTCTCGTCATTTAGTCCTATAACCTCCTTGTCTACGACCTTCCATTGGCGCAATATCTCTACTTCAGGATCATCACTTGACGACGATTCCTGCATAATTAATCCGGCACACTCCCTCTCATCTGATAAATCTTGATCCCCAGTCTTTCTTGAATCCGGGGATATCCCTCACATGCAGGAATGCAGCAATATCTATGCGGGGGATAGCGCTCCATCGAGGGTTATTTCTCCGTCCACCAATCGGAGCGACTTTCCCCAGATTCTTATATTGCTTTCTTCATGAGTGCAATATATCTGTGGCTGAATGGTCTGCGTAATTCCTGTGGGGTGAAGAATCCCCGCGCAGACCGAGAGGCTTGGCGACACGGCTTCAGTACATAAACACGTCGAGGACTGTTGCTTGATGTGGATTGGACTTGGAACTACTCAACGCAAGATGAAGTATCAGAATCTTCTTGCCATCGTGGCAGGCTGCATCGCCAGTTCCAGCGCCGTCAGTGTCTCCGGGGCTGCGGAGGGTTTCGCCAAGGGCGTCACCGGTGGCGGGAGTGCAACGGCCGTCTATCCCAGTACCACTGCCGAGCTTGTCTCTTATCTCGGGGACAGTCAGGCTCGTGTGATCGTGTTGACCAAGACGTATGGCTCTTGAATAGACCGTTTTTGTAGGTGAATGCTGACTGTTGACCAGATTCGACTTCACCAACACCGAAGGCACGACGACAGCGACTGGCTGTGCGCCTTGGGGAACTGCCTCTGCGTGCCAGTTGGCAATCAACCAGAATGATTGGTGTACCAACTACGAGCCTGATGCCCCCTCGGTATCTGTCACATAGTGAGTCTAGTGGCCGATGGCTGTCATGAGCACAACTAACGGCTACAGTGACAATGCCGGTGTCCTAGGTATCACCGTCAACTCTAACAAGTCGCTGCTCGGGTCTGGGTCCAGTGGTGTGATCAAGGGCAAGGGTCTGCGGATTGTCAGCGGTGCAAGCAACATTATCATCCAGTAAGTCTGCCCAGTCGTTTTGGACAAAAAAGAAGCAACTAAAATATGCAGAAACATCGCCATCACGGATATCAACCCCAAGTACGTATGGGGAGGTGATGCTATCACCATCGACAATGCCGACATGGTCTGGATTGACCACGTTACGGTCAGCTCCCCAAATTCCACATAATCTGGCTCGCTCTGATTCATGGTAGACCGCGCGGATCGGCCGCCAGCATCTGGTCCTCGGCACCAGCGCTTCGAACCGGGTGACCGTCTCAAACAACTACTTCAACGGAGTGACCAGTTACTCCGCCACCTGCGACGGCTACCACTACTGGGGCATCTACCTGGACGGGTCCAACGATCTGGTCACCATGAAAGGCAACTACATCTACCATTTCAGCGGCCGCAGTCCCAAAGTCCAGGGCAACACTCTTCTCCACGCGGTAAGCCCCCTCCTTGCGCACGGAAAGCTCAAGCTAACCGCCCCAGGTCAACAACTACTGGTACGATTCCACCGGCCACGCCTTCGAAATCGGATCCGGCGGCTACGTCCTGGCCGAGGGCAACGTCTTCCAGAATATCAACACGGTCGTTGAGAGCCCCGTTGACGGACAGTTGTTTACCTCGCCTGATAGCACCACGAACAAGGTCTGCTCGACCTACCTGGGACATGTGTGCCAGGTCAATGGATTCGGGAGCTCGGGAACCTTCAGCCAGGCGGATGAGGGCTTCCTGTCTAACTTTGCAGACAAGAATATTGCCTCTGCGTCGGCGTATACCGTGGCTCAGAGTAGCGTCCCTTCGAGTGCGGGACAGGGTAAGATTTAGTTTGGGGTTATCTGTTGGACGGAGGAGAGCGAGGAGGCTGGCTGGAGAAATGCGCTTTAGTTATGTGTTTGTGACATCTAGGGCTATACATCATGTCCAATGCTCTTCGGTCAAGGAGCCATACATATCTCGTACAACGAGTTGAACCACGGACACTGTATTATTGGCCGTAGCGAATAGCGAGCAGTGGCGCAGCAGCCAATGCATACGTTGGCCGAATCAGCCCGCAAGAACGGAATCCAGCCCTGCGCAGCGCACAGCCTGAACGGAGCCCAAGTCTTCCAACGATATTTAATCTGGGAAATTCTCAAATCATACAATTGTGCTCGATCAGCGTGTTCTCGAGGTGTTTTGCTCTCATCAGTGGTCTGGTTCACTTGTATTGATGGATATCACCGGCACCATGCGCTGCCTTCGACAGCTACAGCGGAACGAGGTGGCTCAGGTGGGGTTGTTTGATCCGATCGAGAGCTCATTCATTAAGCAGGCAAAGAGTGACTGGACCTGCGTAAGTCATTCCTATTGTGTATATGCCTTCTTTTGAAATTTTGGACGTTAATAACAGATAATGATACAGTGCGACTCCACCTGCCGTACGTTCAACGAAGCAGCAAACAGTAAATGCTCAAGATGCAGCCATGAAAGATGTGCAGAATGTCAGGCTCCCGGATACACTTTATGCCCATTCACCACATACACCTACATGTATATCTGTGTAAGTGTCATCAGGTCTATACTATAGCAATTGTATACCCTAAGCTTACATTTCCCAGTGCCAGTGTGGTGATGGCCCAAAGGTTTACAATGAACAGCCAAGATGTAATGGGTGTAACCATATAGTATGTTCAAACTGCATGCCGGTTAGGTAGGCTACATAGACCAAAGGAGGAGTAGAGACAGGGCAAATGCACTGAGACATTCTCTTTCAACTTTATCTATCGGGTTTCACATCAAGCTGTCGATTTTCTCAGACAAGGGACCAGAATCTGTGATCCGAACGCTGCAGCAACAGTCAGGCATGTTAGACATACCACAGAGACCCAGTATTTCCACCAGGCAACCTCATTGGCGACTTGATTCATGCTGAATGCGCCCTACAATATTATTAGTGTTCCGGGATTCCAGCCAGAACGGGAGCAGGATCGGCAGACCGTCACGAGAGTCACAGGTAGATAGATCTTGTAATAATTTCAGCTCTGTTATACCCTTGTGCGGGGGACAACCCTTACAATGGTGATATAAGTGAGGAGTCTGATATTGTCGCCTTGACGGGTGGCAGTGATACTTTCTGCGAGTGATGAGGCATTGACCAACTTATATGCATATGAGTCATCAGTTGCGCGTCGAGCTGGCGAGAACTTCTACTTACGACGCCAGACATCTTCTCCATAATCTCGATGCGCTGTTCAAGTATCATCCGCAAGGCCTCGAGCTCGGCGGTGTGTTGGCGTACCTGACTGAAACAACCGCGAAACTTGTCCTGTAGAGGGCCATCCGCGTCAAGATCGAAGTAAACCGTATTGTTGTTGTCGAATGCAATCAGCGCGGCTATAACTCGTGCTAAACCATTCCGAAGGCGACGCAGGGTGCAAAGTATCCACGTATACTCCTTAGTTTTCTTCAAAGTTGGATCGTTCTCGAGGAACATGTTCAGATTTTCCTGGTCTATTTCCCCCTGTACGCAAAGTAAGCTTGTCACAGCTCCCCCTGTGCATAGTGCCTGAAGAAAAGGAAGGCGTCTGTCTCACATGCTGATCCAGGACGTTCTCCAGCGACTGGACAAGCACTGTCCATTCTAACGTGATCTGACCCGTCCGTGTTGCAAGAATCGACAGAAAGTAGTACCTTGGATCCCATATGGGAAACTTGTGCATTCTCCTACCAAGCGAAGGTCCATCTACCTCATCCTGCAGGCAGTTCGCTACCAGATCCTGGTTGGCAAAGTACGTATCTTCGCAAAAGTAAGCCGCCCAGAAGAAATCATCGACCCCAAACACTATCAGCGAGAGTTGAGCCTCATATATGCAATCTTGCTCTTCTTCGCCGGGAGGCCTAAAGTATCGATGTTTGCGCAGTCCTCGGGAATCGCGAAGATCGGGCCGATCAGGTCGTAGGGCGTAGTAAGGCAGGTGGAACTCCAACACGAACCCTCGATCCTGATAAGTCAGAACCAATCATAGAAACTGAGTCACGTAAATAGTGAAAGTCAATCTATAGCCACCTGGGAAATGCCCATATAGGACTCGAATGCTACATGTCTAGAAAGAAAGGATCGTAGTTCCGGAAGATGAATATATGCGACGCCTGAGATCAAGGCCAAAGCCATCAAAGGAGTCAGGTTGACTATGTATCTGCAGCTTTCTCAGGACAGACTCGAAGCAGGCTCGAGGGAATGAGAGACTCACACTATTCTCCGTTCTGCAACACCCTTTCGCTGTTCTTACGTAAGCACAAGCGAAAGCAATGGGAAACAAGAAACACATATTTTGCATACGTCCTTTTGCAGGTTAACGTGTAACGTTTCAGCGTCCGCGCCGTAAACGTGAATGTGCAGCCCCTCTGGAGGACGTTGCATGTAGCCGTCCGATTCCCACTGCCTGAGAGGCAGAAACCTCGCGCCGCTCGGAAGTGAGACGCTCACACAGGGATCGCATCGATCATCAAGTATCGCGAGTATGCGTGTGTCAGCAGGAAACGATCTAATTGCCTCGGGAAACGAGCGAGCTCCGGTTCGTTCCAAGAAACGTCTTAGAAGCTCGTAGCGGCGAGGAGGAACGAAGTCGGGTGAGTAACAAGTCAGAAACTCCTCAATCATCGAGCCCCCAGGGGAACATTTCAGGCGATTATCTTGACCATGGTAAAGTGTCACTTGGCGAATGGCAAAGTCCCTTTTCCACTGTAGACGACGGAAAGATTGGCGATGATGAGAGGCAGACGCTTGATCCATCGATCTCCAGCGACAATATCATCAAATACCGTAGTCTTAGTGATCGAGTGCCTCTCATGAAACGAACGGATTTTTTTGATTCTGTGCTTCGTTTTTCGTTTTGAATGAAGCATCTTGTCGATGCCTCGCTCAGCCTCGTTGAAATCCCTGCAAGGCTGATTGGTGATTATTGGAGCCTTCCAGCAGCACAAACACTCCGCCACAGTCGCCTGCTCATCTTTAACTTCTTTTGCATGGTCCGCCTCCTTTTGTCGTCCTTGCAATATCATCGGACGGCCGCCGCCACGAAGGCTAGCATCCACTATTTTAGGACTCACGCTCTTGAGGTCAAGCATTTAGGCAGTAATCCTACAAGAAGGGAGCTCCCTTGGCGTTATCTGCGATGAGACAAACTGTTATCGGCCGCGTACTCCGGTTTTCATGATTCACTCAAAAAGTGATATCTGAGAGTTCAAGGGGTGGCCCCAAGTTCTTCATCTTCATGATATTTGTCACATGATTCCAAGGTGATGGGTATAGTCGGTTTCGATCGGTTGATTCACCCATCGCTCTCTGAGGAGCGATTCGCGCCAAATCCAATGGTGAATTCTCACGCTATAGCATATTCATCCAGGTCGATAAAAGCCAAAACCCCCTCATCATGATAACAAAGCCAACTCTAGGCTTGTCGCACGAGCATTGTCTCAAGATTGGGAAGACTAACGGCTACTCCTCGACTAGGTCAAATGCTTGGCTCGACAGAGAAGCATGTCCCACACGACCGACCAGCGGAGATGACGCATGTGGAGCGCTGATTCTGACATACTGATTGAATACTCAAGATCCAACTCAATCATAGCAAATATTCTTTGAGTACTGGAGGGAAGAAAGAGGATGACACCACGTCATGCACGTGGGGATAAGCCACATGACGTCACTCCATTTCTCCCTTCCTCTTTTATATCCATGGAAGCGGACAAACGCTGAATGAATGTCTTTGTCGATTGTCATAGCTCACAGGAACAATAATCGTACTTGAGCGGCATCCCAACTTAGCTGGTCGACGTGGACCCGACTCCCTTACGCCCACTTCAACAAATACCCCGACTCCCTCCACCAGCAGTGTACGTCTGCAGATTCCTCGATTCATTTGCAACGGTCAATACCGCTGACTCCTTCATCACAGTCAAATTCCATCAGTCGCCATGCCTTCCATGCACGATCGTATTCGGGAGGACCTCCTCATCAAAGAGCGCGCTCTGTGGACCGCCTTGACCTCAGCAGACCCCGGGCCGGCTATCGAGAAACTCGCCCACGAAGAAGTCAACATGATCTTCCCTCAGACACCTATCTTGACCCTGGAGGGCGAGAACAAGATCCAGGATGCCGTCAAGCCCCCATTCCACCGATTCGATACCTACTCCCTGGATGAAGTGCGGGTGATCATTATCGATCTGATGGCGGGGACGGTTACATACAGGCTTACAGCTACCAGAGGATCCAAGACGTACCGTGCGAATGGCTCGACAACGTGGCAGCAGGCTTCGGATGGAGAGTGGCGGATCATATGTCACCAGGAGACATTGGTGTAACTTGCCGCGTTCAGGGTTCCGAGGCAGTTGTCGCCATTCTTTATATATTCCTTGATGAGGTTATGCTTTGTGTTATTATGATTGCTTGATACCGACGATGTGAGCGATATATGTTACTTTCGTGTTTGATGGCTGGATGAGCTACGAATGCGATTCTTACAACCGATCATTATGAGCTGCTAGCTACAACTGTAGGATATTCAGAGGCGAGAGAACATGAAAATATCCTAAGAGGGAGGGACATTTAATTGGTTAAAGATCAGACGTCGCTCCAAATATGTTTATGTTTTGCTTTCTGCGAAATGTCGACGACCATGAAGACACTCATAATTATAATAGCAGAAGTAATCAGCACAGTCTTCGTTCTATTATGCATTTTAAGTTAGAACTTATATTGAAATAACCTCATGTGGATTGACGTCTACGTGGCGTAGTCAGAGCCGGACCCAGATGATGTGATTGTGTAACCATCATTGCATAAAACCGCCTATTGCGCACAAATAAAGCATCAAGCTCTACTTACTATCTTTGAAGTGTTCATACAAAAAAGAAGTAGACTTGTTGTTGAAGAGGGACAACCTGAAAAACAAAAATGGGACGACCCGGGATCGAACCGGGGACCTTCAGATGCCTTGACGAAGTTGACTTCAGTCTGACGCTCTCCCAACTGAGCCATCGTCCCAATTGATGTCTTAGGCATCAGAGAATAGCTCTATATCGATTTAAAAGAATTTACACTAGGATCCCTAGTGAGCCACCGATGACTCAATAAGCCAATGTCATCGACTCATATTGACTCATCAGACCAATCCCTCACATTGGTGCATGCAATTACAATCACATTATTATTCGAGATGATTGAGACGATTGAAACGAAAAAGAAGTTGATCAAACCAATCATGCAGTCGACCCCCTCATTCGCGAGGGTCCTAGTGGGCCTCAACCCAGCAGTTTGCTATCATAATACGAGGCCAACGTTGCAGCCGAGTCTCTCGCTAATCCTCAGAATTTTCAGTTATCTCCAGGCCATGTCTCTTTTCTCTTCTAACCTCTCATATTCCCAAGATTCATGATGAATCTCACCTCAGTCCGCCAGGCCAATTGGGGTCAGGAATGGCGCTCCTCCTCGTGGTTCATCGTCGCCGCCATGGCAATGGCCTTGTTCACGGGTAAGTCTGGGCGTCCGATAAGCGGAGCTGCTCTAGCTAACACATCGCGTCAACACTAGACACATTCCTATATACGTTCCTCGTCCCTATTCTCCCCTACGTGGTTGAAGATCGCCTCGGTCTAGACGCCTCTCTGACTCAACGTATCAGCTTCGCGTTACTGTCCGAAAGTGCCCTTGTAGCCGTCGTGCTGAACCCGTTCATTGGGCACTATGCTGATAAGTCGGCGTCCAAGCGAGTCTGGCTGCTGACGGCGTTGGTGGCCGCCCTCCTGGGCTCGGTATATTTGGCTCTGGCGACGTCGGGTGGGTGATGTCTCGATCGGATGTGAGGTGTCTCGTCAACCCAGGCTGACAGGTCCGTGGTATCGTAGTGGTCGACGTTTTCATTGGCCGGTTTATTCAAGCCATCGCCAGCTCGTTCATGTGGGTGGTGGGATATGCAACAATAGCCGACAGTGTCGACTCGAAGCGTCTGGGCATGATATACGGTATCATCTCCGTGGCTGCGGCTGTAGGCCTGTCCGCAGGGCCCATGGTGTCAGGTGTGCTGTTCAAAATAGGCGGTTATTGGACGGCTTGGGCCAGCGCTTTTGCAATCCTTCTTGGGGATATCGTTTTGCGTCTGCTCATGCTGGAGAATCCCCGGAGGAAGAGAGGTAAGCGATTGGATGAGGTTCAAGTTTCATAGGACTTGATTCTGATTTAGATTCTGCAGAGAAGCAATCGGATTCTTCCCTTGTGGAGGACGACACACTCGAGGAAAACGCGCCGCTTTTCCACCCGGACAATGACACATCGGCCGCCTCTCGCGCCACGGCTTTACCTGAGACAATTGGCGAGAAGACAGGTCTACAATTCTACGTGTACATGTTTCGACACCGTCGATTCGTGAGCGGGGTACTGGGCTATTTTGCCTTTGCGATATTGATCTCCAGCTTCGACACGACTCTTCCGCTGCACGTCCGTGATGCGTTCGATTGGGATAGTATGCCGGCGGGCCTGATGTTTCTGGCCTTGCAAGGTCCAGGCATTGCGCTCAGTCCCCTTTGTGGCTGGTTGAAGGACCGCGTTGGGACACGGATCCCTACCACGGTCGGTTTTCTGGCCTTGGCGCCTCTGCTGTGGCTGCTGGGGATGCCAGGTGATGAGCGTTTCCCGTGGGCAAATCAAGGCCAGAGGGGCCCGATCATCTATGCTGTGGATGTTACGGCCGTGGGAATCGTATCGGTTCTGCTGAACGGCGTTGGCATAATTGAAGCTACCAGTAAGTCAGCGTCGATCATCATCAGCGGTCCTTCCTTGGTCTAATCTGTTTCATCTTGAGTAGCGACCGTTGACGAAATCGAGAAACGACACCCTGGCATATTCGGACCCAATGGCGGGTACTCCAGGGCCATGTCGATTTGCAGCATGAGCTGGACCATCGGAGCTTTCTTCGGGCCTATCCTTTCAGGCTACATGGCGGAGCAGATTGGATATTACGAAATGACCAGTGTGATCGGTAAGTCATGACATAGAAGATTTCTCTACGGGTACTCCGTTGTGTGGCGATGCACTGCTAATTGGCTTTTCCTTAGCGGCAATGTGCGCTGTTTCCGGGGTCAATACTTATTGGAATCTTGGGTCAAAGGCGCATGTCAACCATGGGAGCCTTGAACCGGATCTACTTTAGTGATTTATGTCATTGTTGTCAATCTGTGTGAAACGAGCGTTCCACATTCAGCAATGGCAATTCCCCCCTGCCACCGTAGAGAACTGGTGTACTCCGTACAGAGTGTGTAATATATTACTCGAATTCCTGTACCGAGTAGATAGACTAGGTGTCTATAGACCGCATGGAGCTCCACAGTCGACTTCCTTTGACGGTGACCTGCAGCATAATCAACGACGGATCAAGTCCGGCTTGGTGACGGTGGGACTGCTCAAGCAAAGAAACAAATGCATGAATAGACATGCATGAGTCCGAAACGAAGGAACAATAATTGACTTTGAAAGTCTAAGGAAGATAGACTGATGAGTTGGGGAAGCACAACCTCATGGACTTCCCTAGTCTATCGAATTTCTGACGTCTGTCCACTCTGAAAAGAAAAGGAAAAGTCTTAAGTCCTGAGAGTCGAGACCCGCATTGCGCCCCTTAAAAAAGACGAGAATAGATCGACACTTGGACTGTTCCGTAGGCGAACCTCGGCATCCATCCACGAAAATGAAATCGATCCTCCGTCCTTGATTCTATTGATCCTGATTGATGGTCTTTTTTCATCAAGAACCGATAAAAACAGGAAAAGCTACTGCCAATCTTGTTTGACGCTACCGAAGCGCGGACTTCGGGTATGGGCCGGAAGGGCCGGTGGAAGACGAATCGAACCTTTGACCCGTCAACGGTCGAGCTGGGGCGCTGTAAGTGGTCAATACTCCTGGTCTAAGAGGCCTATGGCAGAATGGCAGACGAACTAAGAGAATCCCGGCAGTCTTGCATGCGCCATGACTGCTATCGCGTGTGCCTGAAGAAAATTTCGTCAAACCATGGGTGCAGAATCGCCAGATCAGCATCAGATGCGATGATGATGTAAATTCCCCCGAGAACTCTCCATTCCCGGCCGAGATTGAGTTGAGTTTTATTTACTTTTAGCTTTTTACCCGTCAATTGTCTTTTGTGGGACAGCAAAAGGACCCCGTATATTGCGTATGTGACCTGTTCCTGGATCACCCGTGCACCGACCTCGACGAAAGCTCCTCCGGTTTCGAGACTCATCTTGAGATTCTAGATCAGATTGTCTCTGCACTTTCCAGAGGTCATTTGTGGCGACGCTGACTGACCTGCTGCCAGCGCCACCTGTTTGGCTTCTTGTCCGGAGAGACAGCGACACTCCTTCAGACTCGGTACGGAGAACAAGCGCAGAAATTGATCAGGCTTATAAGATAGCCTTCATCGACGGCTAATCATTGTTTCTCAACGAGATCTGACATCCGCTAGTCTAGTAGAGAAATCGGAATATGAAATAAGACAGTAGCCCCGCTCAAAGGGTCTTGCTTACTTTATTTTTTATTTCTGCCAACGCCTTGACTCTGACCATCCGATCATACCATACCATATTCTCACGCCATGCCTCCCCAAAGGATTTTGATCGTCGGGGCCGGCATTGCGGGCATCGCTAGTGCTCTTGCCATCTCGAAGGAGCTGACCCCGTTCGTTCCGGACCTGAAGATCACCGTCTTTGAACGCCATGACATCCTCTCCACCTCCGGAGGTGCCATCAACCTCACCCCCGTCGCTCAGCGTCACCTCGACCAGCTCGGAGTGCTTGCGGAACTGGACCGGTTGGGCGTAGAAGGCGGAGCCGACGTCGATGCCATTCAGTTCTTTTCCTGCCGGTCAGGAAGGTCGTTGGGGTCGATTGACTTTACACATGACCAGGGCCAAGGGTACAACGGATACAAGGGCCGCCGGGTGATGCGGATTATCCTCTCGGTCGCGATGCTGGCGGTCGTCGAGCGGACCCGGAATATCGAGATCGTCTTCGGCAAGAAACTGGCCAAGGGCGAAGAGACTGGGGACGAAGCCATCCTGTACTTCCAGGACGGCACGACGGCCGCGGGAGATCTCGTCTTGGGGTGTGATGGCGTGCACTCGGCCACACGGACGCAATGGGTCGCGCCCGAGTCTCCGTCCGAGTACACGGGGATCTCGTTCCTGCAGGGCGTTGTCGATGCCAAGACGCTCAAGTCCCGCGTGCACTTCCGGTCGACGTCGATGAATATCTCCCGGCATGGCACGTTACTGGCGAGCTACTGCGACCGCGAGCACGAGGAGATTTTCCTCGCGGCCATTGTGCAGTTTGCCGAGGAGTTGCTCCCCCGGTACCGGATCGAAGCCGGCCAGGACTGGCGGAAGCAGCATGCCATCCGGAAAGCCCTGCAGGAGGAGATGCAGGATCGATTCGGCAAGTCGGGGATTCCGTGCATCCGCGAGATGATCAATACCCCGGCGGAATGGATGTTGTACCCCGTGTACCAGGTTCGGCCTGGAGGGCGGTGGCACACACAGCGAGCGATCCTGCTGGGAGACGCAGCACATGCGGTATGTGATCTCGATCCGGAACGTGTGCTCAAGCTAATTGTGGATATAGATGCCACCACGCGATGAATCAGCGGCATATGCGCTCGATGATGCGATTGTGTTTTCGCGGATTCTGGCTCGCTACCGCGACGAACCGCTGACGGAAGCATTCAAAGCCTACGAGGACCTCCGACGGGAGACGGTCAACGAAGCTTTCAAGTCCTCTCGGCGGATGTGGGAAAAGCACAAGGACATGGGTCTGTTGGAGGGACGGCTGCGTGAGTGGACGCTGCCTTTCTATATCCGCAATTCGAAGGAGGCTCGCGAGGCGGCGTGGGAGTTTGACGCGACCAAGATCAGCATTCCGATGCCGGTGGAGGAGCAGGACTCGCTATATTCGTTTGAAAAGGACTATCATCTATAGACGATGGAAGCATGCGGTACTGGAGTTTGCTGGTTGGTGTTTGGGACATGTTCGGACGGCAGAAATCTTGCATATCTTGCATATGGTCATAGGACCTTGGATTGGGACATATTGCATTGCATTGCATGGATCTGTGTATCATCATTTGTCGTTATTCGGCTGTTGTTGAATGTTGTGTGTGAGTATTGCATCTTTTGGGAATCATTACGAATACGAGGAGACATTGCACGAGCACCAAGAGACATTGATGAGAATTTCTAAGGATTACTCGATGAGAATAGCACCATAGTATGTGCCAGATTAGCAGCATATATTTCAAATCTCCACGAGTCAGTCGTGAGCAGGACTTTCGGGTTGACTTGGCAAAGCCCCTGTTTCTTATTGATCTGTTGACAGTAGTATTTGTCCGGTTGCGATTGTTCCATCTATTCTGGCTTCAAGATTCTGTGCAGTATGTAGCAATATGCCATCCACACCTCTACTGTTGTCATCAGCTCTTTGACCCCGGATTGATTTATTCTCGGACATTCCATGCCATACGAGTCCTCAATTTCCACCTGTCGCGTAGATTCCCTCGCGTCAATCATCCTCGGACCCCGATCTCATCGCGATCAGATTCGTCATGGAAACTCATTTTCGGGGGATTTCACAAACAATTGATGGAAAATACCGTCTCTCTCATGTAAAGCGCTCATCAGCGTCAACTTTCAACACCTCCTTTCCGACAATGCCAATACAGCGGCTGAAACCCCGGCTTTCTTGGCAATGAACTGCCCCGACAAGCTTTGAAACACAACCGCGTCATTTGTGGATATTTTGCGTGCAGATCGAATGCCGGATCACTCCATGCGCGACGCAGTCGAGAGTCATTCCGGCGCTGTCCGGACTCGAAGCAGTCTAGCAGGGTAACTTCTGTAGCTTCTACCCCGCCGAATCTCCAGCCTTGGCTTCTGCGTTGACGATGATCCGAACCTGGTGAGACCCTTTTCAGGGATTGTGTCGACTGCCGGCTGGCTTGGCGGCTGTGTGTGACAGCCTCCAGCGGACGGAAATTATTTTCTGCCATATGGCTTCGTCCTGGCCGAATCTGGAGTCGTGTGACGCTGATCGCGGGGAGTCCGTCCACCTATGGAGACGGTTCTTGCACGGTGGTCTTGGAGGGATGCCAGGGCCAAGAATTGCGCCAAGAGGAACCGGTGTTTGCGTGTTGTTGCAGTTTGAGCAGCGTGTCTGAGCTATACTGGGTGCATTGCCCGATTGGGAAATGTAGCGGTTCCCAGGGTATATAAACCTCCACGAGGCCGCCTGGAATGGGGTTTGATTCTTCAGGCTCAACAGGCTTGGTCTTGATTCTTCTGCGCTCTCTTCAGTTCCTTTCCATCTATCTTCTCTTCGCTCGTCAAGTCTGGTACTTGCTTTTTTTCCACATAGCAATCATGAAGTTCTTCGCTGCTCTTGTCGCTGGCGGTCTGTCTGGACTGGCCCTGGCTGCTCCGACTGCTACCACCAATCCATTGAACAAGCGGGCTAGCGCCAACGATGTATGCTCCATTTCCTGGCTGAGACTATTGCCACATGCTGACCTGACAGGCCGCCTTTGGTTACGCCAGCTTGAACGGAGGCACCACCGGTGGTGCCGGCGGTACCACGACCACCGTCTCCTCGTACGCAGCCTTCACCTCTGCCGTCTCCAGCGATAGCAAGAAGGTGGTCTATGTCAGCGGCAACATCAAGCAGACGGCCGACCAGGTCAAGGTTGGCAGCAACACCAGCATCATCGGCAAGGATTCCAACGCGGTTCTCGAGGGATTCGGCCTGTATACACGTACCTTCTGCACTTGTCTGGGCTTGGCTAATTGAGACAGTTTGGTCAAGAAGAAGTCCAACGTGATCATCCGGAACCTGGGTGTCAAGAAGGTTCTGGCTGACAATGGAGATGCCATTGGCGTTCGTATGTATCTCTTTCATGATGAAGGTACTCAACTAATGATATGAAAGAATACTCCAACAACGTCTGGATCGACCACGTCGACGTCTCCTCTGACCGTGACCACGACAAGGACTACTACGACGGTCTGATTGATGTACGTCTCCCCAGTCGCCGGGCGATGCAATACTGACAACTGCAGCTCACCCACGCCGCCGACTACGTGACCGTCTCCAACAGCTATATCCACGACCACTGGAAGGCGTCCCTGGTCGGCCACTCCGACAACAACGGTGACGAGGACACCGGCCACCTGCGCGTTACCTACGCCAATAACTACTGGCGCAACATCAACTCCCGCGCCCCCTCCCTCCGCTTCGGCACCGGCCACATCTACAACAGCTACTTCGAGAGCGTCAGCGACGGCATCAACACCCGCGACGGCGCCCAGGTGCTCGTCGAGTCCAACCAGTTCGTCGGCTCCAGCAAGCCCCTGTACTCCACCGACGCGGGCTACGCCGTCGCCAGAGACAATGACTTTGGGGGTGCCTCGAACACTGCCCTGGCGGGTACCCTGACCAGCGTTCCATACTCGTACTCTCTGCTCGGATCCAGCAAGGTCAAGGCCGCCGTTGTTGGAACCGCCGGCCAGACTCTGACCTTTTAGCATCTGGCAGGATGGCAATAGCTGCTATGTACATAGTTGATTACTTCTTTCGCTCCTTTGCGTCGCGCGCGCATTGCAATCAACCTAGGTTCCTCTGTTGGACTGTCGCTACTATGGCAACGACAAGAACAACTTCTTCATCTTGGGGTAGTTCGGCGTTCCCAGCCCCGTCGCCGGGTCCCATCTGCTCCTGTCAGCTTTCCCTCGTAAGACAATGCAGGAAACATACCCCTTGATGGCACTGAAGCCCTCCGAGCCACACCCCACATTCGTCCCATTGGTAACATCATTCAACACCTCGGGATGCGCATACAGCACGGGGTTCACAAACCCAACCGGCCCCTTCCCAACCGCCAACCGCTCCTCATTGATCTACACACGGTTGGTCAGTTTCCACACAGGCACAAGAACAAAGGACCGGACCGGACGCACCAGATTCAGCACCGACGCAAACAACGGCGCCGCCAGACTCGACCCGTAGAAATGGTACAGCTCCCCGCCCATAAACGCCGGGAAGCGCGCCCCGTTGGCCGCGACGTCCGGATACGCCCGCCCAACCCGGTTATACAGCCCCGTTGTCGCGGTGACGTCCACGTTGAGCTGGGTGTAGAACGGGTAGGGGGGCCGCGCGCGCCGGAAGTAGGTCTCGACGGCAGCGGCCTGGTACGCCGGGCGGGCGAAGTAGTTCGAGAACCCGCCCGCCGTGGAGAAGTTGCTTGCGGACCCGCCTAGGTCGACGTGCATGACGCTTTCCGCGTCGGTGGCGGTCTGCTCCGGGGAGAGCATGGTGCCGCCGACGGAGGTCACGTAGGGGCAGTTGGAGGGGTACTGCGGGTTGAAGATGCGGCCGTCGGGGCCCAGGCAGCCGGTGGAGGAGCCGTCGCCGGGGAAGGAGGCGACGCCGTAGTCGCCCGACGCGAAGAGGATGGAGTGGCCCTGGAGCCCGAGCTTCAGGAACTCGTTGCATTGCCGCTTGGTGTAGGCGGGGGGGAGGTCGGCCTCGGCTTGGCCGTAGGAGGCGCTGATGACGGTTGTGGGCTTGTAGATGCCGCATTGGAGGGTGCCGTTGTAGCCGCCGGGGCGGGGGTCGGGGTAGAC